CCGACAAAGTTCTGGGCGTCTATTTCACGGAAACGGATAGGAACAATGCGGACGTCATTAGACTGTACGAGACCAGAAGATTTACCGAACTTGTTGTGCAGTGAAACAGCTGAGACCAAGTGTTCCTTGGATGGTCTTCGAGAATCGAGCCCAAACCGGCGGCGTTGCGTTCAGATAAAAAGGAATGCAGTACCATGTACTTTGCACTGAGCTTTGATGTTATTTAACCTCGTATAGTTTACTTCTACAGATTGACAAAAGAAGGATAGTAAAAATAATCCAATCTTACAGCCGTACCGAACAAGCTGAACATAAAGAAATCGAGCAACTCTACGAGAAAGTGGAGGACGCAGTGGTAAAGAAAACTACGTAACGATTTTCCTAAGAGACTTCAACTCAGTGGTCCGCAAAAGAACGTAAACACGGAGTTATTTATCGATAAATACGGAAGAGAAGAAGGGCAGGGGCGTTAAAACTGCTTCGCAACACAAAAAGAAAGAAAACAAACAGAAAGAAAGTGAACACATCTTCCTAATCAATACTGCTTGAGAAAGTTAAGGCGACATTGGATACGGATAAACTCAGGCTGTTAGTCTTTGAACCAGATCGACTCTGTACTGACGGACAAAAGACCAATTATGTCGGTGTCGGTCATAGGCAAGAACTTAATCTGCAGAGGATCAGACCACAGCCTTTTGCTTTCCATGGTTACGATCGATGTCGCAAAAGCGGAGTGCATCAAAAGGGCCAACAGATCACCTTGATGTGGAATAATAACCGAACCGAAGCTTTTGCTGTGAAGCTGCCATTAATGAACCTTGAAGTGAGCTTCAACGAGGACATCGATGAGGATTTTGACTATTTTTTAATGCCATCAAGACTGCTTTTAGAACATCAAGCCGGGTAGCAGAGTCAGTCAGAAGCCAAGTAGTCAGGCCTTCACCAAGACAGAGTATGGCTAGAATAGCCCAATTGAAGGCCGAATGAAAAGTGGATAGCCATAAGTGCATAACAGTACATTATGCAGCGAGATACGGAGGTTTCTTGTAAGAAGATTACGACAGTGACAACAGAATTCAGTGAAGAGGCTCCGGAGAGCAAAAATATCCAAAAAATATCCGAAATATTTCCATAAAACAACAGATTCTGAGCGAGCCGTAAGACGGCTGAGCAAGAACTATTAATCGCAATCGGTTGAACGTTATCTGCGCATAGTTTTATAACAACCTGTACTCTTCCAAAATAGGTTTTAATCGGAAGTTACCAAACGTTGCCCCAGAAGCCGTTCTTGAATTCACCTGGGACGAAGTTAAGTGGGCAGTCAGAAACAGAAATGGCATATGCCCAAGCAAAGACTGCATGAGACCAGGACAAAGTAGGACGTGCAAGCTACGCACCTGCGGAACGGTTTGCGGAATGGTCAATCAGAGCAAGACTCCTAAGACGTGGAAGATATAAAGAATGAACAAGCTCGACTCAGAAGACCTCGAGAACTACCAATTACACTGTCGCAGATTTTTTCCCGCATCATTCGTAACCGTATTTGGAAGGACCTCGAAATAGTCACAAGTCGGTTACAGGCTGGTTTTCCGACAGGGTTTTCTACCACTATCATATAGATGTCATTTATTAGCTGAGAGATAGGGTGCAACGAATATCAAGTGTCACCTTGTTTTGTTTTCTTCGACTAAAGGCGTTCGATTCCACAGAATCGACGGCTACGCTAAACGCCTTGCATCAACATGATATTAAGCTTGTTTGCGTCGGCCTGTTTAAAAAATTAAGCACCAGTTTTATGACTGGCATCTAGCTCTAGCTGTTCAACGAGTCGTTTCAGATCGGTATTCATCGAAAAGTGTGCCAAGGGAATACCATTTAACCAGCGGTTTTGAAATCACTCTTAAATCGGCTAAACTGATAGAGAGCAGCTAACATATTTGTTATTTGCGGACGACTACACTCTATTTGCACAAGATACGATGGAGCTCTAACAGAAGATCCAACAGCTGAAGGAAGAACCTCCAAGCGAATTGGGTGGGAAATGAGCACTGCTCACAGCTTTATCTACGTGAGTGGCGAAAAACTCGAAAAATCACCATCTGTGCATAACTTGTGCGTCAGGACTGCGTGAAGTAACTAGACGTGTAAATCAACCGAAGAAAGACGACCAGCTTTAATCCTGTTAAAGCACTATTATAAACATAAGCGTATTACTCGAGAATGAGCAGCCCATACGGAACTGTTCAGTTCAAAATGGGTACCCGCCATGAACGTTGGTCTGCTCTAAAGCTGAGAAGGGCAAACTGATAATCATGAAGGAGGACGGAGCGAAAAATTTTGAAGATGTTCCACCGGGATCACGTTCCGAACACGCAAATTTAATTGTGGAGGTCAAGAACTGCTGACTGGGGCGCTTCACCACCAACTTTTGTTGATCCTCCAAGAACACGCTGCGATGATCCGGTTACTTGGTGGTCAGCGGTGAAGGGAGAAAGCGATAAATCGAGAATGTTGGAAGGTCGATTGCGCTCATGAAAACACTCAGTAACAAATTAATCCTCAGGAAAGCAAATGAACTATTTTCATCGTGCTAAGAACCGTTTAGGCAAAAAAATCACTGGTGGATTAGTGTAAAAGAAGGTCCAATCATTGAACGGGATATATCAGGAATTCTGGAGGAAAGAACATAATCAGATCATTCGCGTGATTCGGAAAATAGTCCTTTGCATCAAGCAGATTTGCCTGAGGGCTACTTTGTATGCAGAGGTGTGTTACAGATAGTGTTATCATCGCCTTAGGGCTTTACATGGAGACTATTTCAGATATTTTCTCATGTGTTCCCCGTAAC